TCAGTTCGAGATTCCTTCATGAAATGAATTTTGTTGTTGAAGGATTTGTGCCTTGATCTGTGTAACCATGCGAGGTACCATTTCGGCAATTGCCAGAAAGTCCCACTCATGTCTATGTGACCACGCGGGGCACCAGTTTTGGCAATTGCCAGAAAGTCCCGCTCGTGTCTTTTGTGATTCGCTACCGCTATGTGACCCGGCAGGGTGCCATTTCAGCAAATGAGAGAGAGCAAAATTTGCAGATTTTGCTGCCATGCCACCACTGTGTGAGTATGCCCTCAGGGCACCTCGGTTGTCTTCTATGAGCTCTCCTGCCAAACGCTCCAGCAAGCCATTCATAATGCAACTGAATATGGTGCACTTCCTTTGCCTGATGCACATGCAGAGTCCCACGTTTTCTTTACCGGAGATAGCTAGAGCATAGTGCACAAGTCACTGGGCTCAAGGTGCTAGAAACATAGGGGTTGGAAAGTCAAGATCAAGGCAGATTACTTCGTAGGGGTGGCATCTCCTCACTCGCCTTGCGCGAGCATTATCATTTTCACGTCTGACCTTAGCTATGGCGTAGCAAAGCGTACCATACGAAACTTCAGCAAAAATTCGGAAGACACGGACACAGAAGATACAAGTATCCACAGCAAGCGTTGAAGCCATTCCATTTCAAATGATAGCTGAGATCCGAAGACAAGCTACAAGCAGTACACGGGGTATGAAACGAAAAGGAAAGCGAACAGGTAGGAGAGTAGGGCCGAGAAAGGAGGATGAACGAAGAAACCAAGAAACAAAGAAAAGGGGAAAGGGGGAGGAAAGAAGAGAGGGAAGAGAACATGAAGAGAGAGAGAGAGAGAGAGAGAGAGAGAGAGAGAGAGAGAGAGAGAGAGAGAGAGAGAGAGAGAGAGAGAGAGGAAAAAGTCCACGCAGGGAACATGACTGCGAATCTCAGAAGCCCAAGCGCTAAATCCGTATAAAGAACATGAAGATCATAAATGGCCCCCAACAGGCAAGGCAAACTGTGCAAGAAGCACAGCCGGTCGTCAAGCCCTTACGGAAGCCAATGTCGGCCAATCCCGACATGTTTTGACTGCAGCCGAGCAGCAGTCATCATCAGGGGAAGGCACTAGGGGCGGGCAGTCACTCATAAAGCGTAAATCAGTCTTGTTGTTTTTACTTCTGTAATTCCTACCTTTTCTTTTGGAGAAAACTACGGCGCAGTCAGGGTTTGAGTTTGTAATTGCACTTGAGGCAAAAGGGCCGGTAATGCTGAATGTATATGACCTACGTTTTGGGTCCGGTGGGGTCGCGTGGGGGGGTGTTGTATTTGCGGGATTGCCTGAAGTGCAATTACAAACTGTTTTCGTGTCTGCACCGAAGTTACCCCTTTCTTTTGGCACGTGGACAAGGCAGGAGCACTTCAGTTTTCTGCGCCCGTATGGAGACGCAGGTCCAGGATTGCATGTGGCAAATAGGCGAAGAGGATGTGACTGTGGGTGTGCTTGTGTGCATGCTTCTGTGCGTAGTAAATTGTCACCACAACAGCCCCTTTCCACCCAGATGAGTAGATCCAAAATGGAAGCAGCTTTACCTATATAGCAGACAAACAAGCACACTTGAGACGAGCCAAAATTTCCAGCCATGAAACAGTTTTGTCTCTATAGCAAGCAACATGAAGCACAATAAATCCCTTGTATTGCCTTTTGCTTTTCTTTGGGGTCTCCTTTTTGTTTCTTGTTGCAGCTCCCCTTTTGCTGAGGCTCTAACGTCCAAGGCTTCCCACGTTGATTGTGGTTGAGCGCAAGCTGCCCACATTCCCATGTGCCATAACGGCCCACTTGCCGGTAGAGTAAAGGGGGAGGAATACTCCTGTTCATTTTTCACCGGATTTTGTTTTTTATTAAACTGATCAGAACAGATACTACACTTGATCTTAGCCAAAAGGCCGAGAAAGCTATTTTCACCGGATTTTCAGCTTCTGTGTGTGTGTATGTCTGCGTGTAACCCCTTTTCCAACCAGACGCATATACATAATAATCAAACCACAAACCGTGGCAACCCCAGAGAGAGAGAGAGAGAGAGAGAGAGAGAGGAGGGGGGGGGGCGCGCAGCGGCGGGGTACTGAGATGAAGCAAACACAAGATAACTAGAGAAAGAGGAGAATGGCGAGCAAGCCATCCAAGCCCCAATGGTTATGCTACGGGTAAGTGTGCGGGTACGCATCTGCGTATGCATGCGTGCATTCATATGAGCGATGTAGATTGTCACCAGACACAGAAAGAAAGAAAGAAAGAAAGAAAGAAAGAAAGAAAGAAAGAAAGAAAAACTCCAACCCAGATGCACAGATCCAAAATTGAAACAGCCTGCCCATATAATCTGATATAGACTGTCATCGAAACCACCACTTTTCCACCCAGATGCGCAGATACCAAAATTGAAACTGCCTAACGTTGCAATCTCTTATCAAGTATGTGATATTTTAAATGATGATTGTAATGTTTTGATGAAGGGCGTTTCAAGTTCCACCGCGCCTCTGTGTGTGTGTGTGTGTGTGTGTGTGTGTGTGTGTGTGTGTGTGTG